TATGAAAATTCATATGTACAGATTATGTGTACCTTAAGTAAAAAGTTTCTTTCAATGCCATTTTTGTAACTGTATTTAAAACCTTAACACAATATATTAGAATTAAAAATAAAGATTATACATTATCAGTATCAATAAGATACACAAAATACAATTATGCAAATGCATATTAGACTATGGGACGCTTTCATATACTTTTTGATTGTTAATTCTGTCAAAAAATGCCAATGTAGGCAAAAATCCTTTCATAGTAAATTTGCAATATAAAATTCAATCAACAGAACTCCAATAACTTCTTTGGGTTACTGGTATTTTACAAGTAATTTACATCAGTACTTTTAGTTCTGTAGAGCAACAAGAAAATAAACAGACACTTGGATTAATCCACAGCAGCAGTGTCTATGCCCTAAAGCATAGTATAAATCTGCTCCCAAATCTACATCACAAGGATCTTCTAGACTAGAAGATTGGTAACGTCCATGTATTGGATGGAGTCCTCAGATTTCTGTATATCTTACTGTACTCTTAAATGTTCTCAGGCATATATATATATATTTTTTTTTCCATTGATTTTAGAGAAGAAAGGAGAAGGAGGGAGAGATAGAAACATCAACAATGAGAGAATCACTGATCAGCTGCCTCCTGCACATCCCACACTGGGGATTAAGCCTGCAACCTGACCGGGAATGGAACTGTGACCTCCTGGTTCATAGGCCGATGTTCAACCACTGAGCCATGTGTGCTGGATGATTATTATAGATTTTGATTGTCTGTACTTTTCTTTCACAGCACTTACTATAGTAGTATTGCATAGCACTTACTATGCAGCTAATATAGTGACTAATGTTCGCCCGACACACCCATCAGTTGAAAGCACCAGGGGCAGAACCAATTTCTGTTATTCCCCCACTGGATTTACATTCCTGGGACATGATAAACATTTGTTAATGAAACAAGTGAAGGGAAGAGAGGAAGGGAGGAAACCTGAGAGCAAAAGATAACCCTTTCTGTTCCTTATGGTCATCATAAAGATCCATTCCCCCCCCCCACAAGATTTAGCTTTAAATTCTAAGAAAATAGAAATTTAAAAAAGTTTTGCTTTTAACTTTGTCCACTTAGAGACTCAGAACCCTCCACACATAAGGCACACTCTGATGAGATGCACTAGGCAATCTTTGAGGAAAAACCCTTATTTGAGATGCAGGATCATGTCCGAGTCTCTATCCTGTCTTCAATTCTTTCCAGTGTGAATTTAAAAAATAGCCAGTAACCCACCAAGATGTCAGGTAGCTTACCAAGGAAATGTAATAAAAGGTGAAAACCCCAGTCAGACAGTGGGTATTGCCATTCCTACAGAATCAAGATTTCTGAAGGAAAGCGCAACTGCTCAAACGGAAAAGGAAAAGTCTTCTAGGGTGCCCGTTTAAGAGCTTTGTTATTCTACACATTAAATCTCGCTAACGGGTGGTCCAGGACCAGCCCGAGCAGCATGGGCTGGGAGCCAGTGAGAAAGGCAGAATCCCAGGTCCCACACAGGACCTACTGAATCAGAGCCTGCATTTCAACAAGACCCCCTTCTCCAGTTGACTCATGTGGACATTCAAACTTCAGGTGCCTTGCATGAAAAAGCAAGCACCATGTACAAGCCTAAATAGGAGACAAACTAGAAAAAAAAATTGCTACTACTCATAACAAAGGATAGCTATAGGTAGTTCATATAAACCAGCAAGAAGATTATAAAGAACCTCTTTGAAAAACAGATAGGTAATTAAAAAAAAACAACAACAGAAAGAATGAACTTGTAAACATGTTTTTCACTAGGAATTAAAAAATTCAAATTGAAATAATAAAGTATTTGAAAATATTACCCATTCTTGTAGAAGAGATTTCAAGGCAAGAGGTACACTCTCTATTGTTGGAGGACATGTAAATTGATACCAGTTCCTGGTGTAAAATTTGACATTATTAAATGTCTTAAAATTGTAGAAATCATTTGATCCAGAAATTTCAATTATGTCATATGTTTATAAAAATCAAACTGAGACATAAATACAGTTATTGTAGCATTATTCACAATGTAGAAATTTGGAAGCACCTTAAATGTTCAATAATTAAATAATCTATTATAATGCATCCAGATGCAATTATTATTCTGTCTTTATATATCATTCTGTAGAAGAACATCGAATGAACAGAGGAGAAATGTCCTTATATATAAACATCCAGGTGTGTAAACCTACCGGAAGGCTACACATCCAATTGTTAAGAGTGATCTATACTGAAGGAGTATGGGCCACTTTCTTTGTATGTTTCTATGTTTTCAAATTTGCTGCAATGCAGCCATATTACTTTTCTGAGTCAAAAATAGCAAACTTTACTAGTGGTACGCTAGGGTCAGCTTAATACCAGCTCATAATAGCCAATTGTTAAATTTTGAGAAATTTTGTGAACCAGCTGTTAAGCACAACACTTAAAAAAATAAATTACATAAACTTACAATTAAATAAATTACATTAAAACAAAGGCAATAAATACTTAAAAGCCACCATTCCTGATCATCTTACTGTATTATCTAAGCCTATTGCATCTGTATGGTGGAAATCTTACATAATGGCATGCTGCTGCTCATCTCTCCTCAACTTTGTACTCAGTGACATTATGATGGAGGCTTAAAATCAGCCTTAGTGAGAGCATTTACACCAGGGACATTGGTATACACTACCAATCAGGGCTTTTTTTTCTTTTCCCCAGAGAGCTACTTGTTAAAAATGTATCAGCATACCACAGACTTTACGTATTTCTTGAGAAAATAGAACGTGACCCTTTTGAGGAGGTAGGGGAGGAGAGAAGAATTCTATCATGAGAAAATTAGGGAGAGGAACAAAATTAAATTGGTTTGATCCTTCCAGGGTTGTTTCATATAAAACGATGGACTTGAATGCTCTCTGAGAGCATACCCACGCCTTTCTTCCCTCAGAGGCCTGCATCTTTACTTTTCTCTCTGAAACCCAGGAGACTTGCAACCAGGGGAGCAGTGGGCAGTGGCAGCTCATCCCTCACTAACCCCCTGAACCTGTCCCCAAGGCCTCCTTTTCTCTGAGTTTTCCGTGAGCTAGGCTCTCTCCTGTTGCTACTTCTACCCTAAGCCCTTCCTTGTTTCACTGTCCCCAGCTTTAATAAATATACTCTCAAAATAAATAAAAATACAAAGGTGGATATGGTGGTATCAGTTCTCACACTAATTAGATACTGCAATTCGAGCCAACACCAGTCTAGCACCTGTTCATCTTCCTTTCTACAGCCTTGGTTTTACGCTACAATCCAGCCGAACCGCTCAGAGACTTCCTGGTCTGTAAAGTAGGGGAAAAGGTAATGGCCTTACTTAATCATCAGAGCTTTGCGTAAAACAAGGTGTTCAACAAATGGGACATGTTCTGAGAAATGGCTTTAGGTGATTTTGTTTTTGTGCGAACATCACAGAGTTCACTTACACAAATCTGGGTGGGATCGCCTACTACACACCTAGGCTGTGTGGTGTAGTCTATTGCTACCAGACTACAAGCCTTCACAGCATGTTATTGTACAAAACAACAGAAGATTAAATCAAGCACAAGGGAAATGATGCAATCAAGAGATGCAGTAAAATGAGATGTCTGAGGCTACTGCCAGGATAACGCGGCATACTGTTTTAAAGCAAACTGTTTTATTTCCAAGTAGAAAGAGTACACTCTAAAATGATGATAAAAAGTATAGGACAGTGAATACGTAAAACAGTAACATGATCGTGTTTTGTTTTGTTTTTATCCTCACCTAAGGATATTTTTCCCATTGATTCTTTAGCAGTGGTTCTCAACCTTCCTAATGCCGCGACCCTTTAATACAGTTCCTCATGTTGTAGTGACCCCCAACCATAAAATTATTTTCGTTGCTACTTCATAACTGTAATTTTGCTACTGTTATGAATTGTAATGTAAATATCTGATATGCAGGATGTATTTTCATTGTTACAAATTGAACATAACTAAAGCATAGTGATTAATCACAAAAACAATATGTAATTATATATGTGTTTTCCGATGGTCTTAGGAGACCCCTGTGGAAGGGTGGTTCGACCCCCAAAGGGGTCTCGACCCACAGGCTGGAGACCCACAGGTTGAGAACCACTGCTTTAGAGAGAGTGGAAGGAAGGGGGAGAGGTAGAGAGAGAGAAACATCAATGTGAAGATATGAGAGAGAGACACATCCACCCGTTGCCTCTCTCACGCATCCCGACCAGGACCATCCAGACCAGGGCCAGGGATCGAGCCTGCAACCAGGTATGTGCCCTTGACTGGAATCGAACCCAGGATGCTTCAGTCCATAAGCCAACACTCTATCCACTGAGGCAAACCGGCTAGGACACATAGTCATTTTTTAACCTGTTATGTACTGTACGAAATTGCGTATGTTACACCTTCAGATGACTGGCAGCTTTTTGTGTCCAAGAGCATCATCACAAGCACCTGAGCAGCGCATTGCACTACCACCTTACACAGCTAGGATGAAGACGTCACTAGGCAATAGGTGTTCTTCAGCTCCATTATGATATAGTGAGACCACAGTCCTATGTGCGGTCTGTCATTGACCAAAACGTCCTTATGTGGCACATGACTAGAATGTATTTGAAAGAACATTGAAAACCATGAAAATATGGGACATGCTTATGATATTTATCACATTAAAAGGCCCACAGATGTCTTATAAAGTAAAATTAGAACCAAATGTGTTCATATTCATAACATATTAATATTGCATTAGTTTTGAAAACATTTTTAGCCACCAAGAGGAATTATCCTAATTTACACTCTTCTAAAAATATTATTTTAATAAAAATGTTCACAAGACCCCAAAAGCCAAAATTTTATCCCTCTGCTTAACAGACCCCGATGTCATCAATGCCCCGATGGGGTTTTTGTGATGTAGTAATTAGTGTACAAAAAGTACGTATGTGTTCCAAGTACCTGAGACTACAGAAGAATCCATAAAAGATGATTCCACTGAATTGCTTTGAATGTCCCAGGCATCTTTCTCTGGACTTGACTGATCTGTGGCTAAAAGAAGTGGCTCTTTTTCTTCAGGACTGTCTTCTTGTGATGAATTCTCACTTCCTATGAATAAAAGCATTGGAATGTAAAACATAGCACAATGCAAGTTTTCATGCCGTGTACAAAAGACCATTACTGTTATTTTGAAAATGAAATGGGGGTTCCTAATAGAGATTTAATTGAATATGCTTCAATACCTTGAAATTCTAATCAGGATATATCAGACCGTCACACCTCAGAGGGAAGGTAGGGGAGGGTGGGGGTTAGAGGGAGAGATCAACCAAAGGACTGTATGCATGCATATAAGCCTAACCAATGGACACAGACACCAGGGGGGTGAGGGCATGAGTGGGGGATGGGGGGAATGGGGGGGATAAGGACACATATGTAATACCTTAATCAATAAAGAAAAATATTTTAAAAAATTGTATTACCATGGTAAGCTTTTATACACTATAAATGCCTGTTATTGTTACTCTGAAAACCAAGTTGGGGTTTCTCTTAGAGATTTGCCCAAATGTACTTCAGTACCTTCACATTTTGAAAGGCCTGGGATGTGTTTTTTGTTCTGACACAGTATTTTTATTATTAATACGGGCATAATGAGTAATTCTTTGCAATGATCAAATTTTGCCTAAAAAGACGACATGATATTATACTAGTCACAGGAAAGGTGTGTGACGATTTCCTATCTGATCATCACCTTTAGGAAGTAAGCCACGTATTCAGGGATGCAAAGCCACATTTAAGGCTGAATTAATGAAATGCAAATTGGGTGGTGGTTTTTCTTTAGCTTGTGCTCTTGCCATTTTGTTCCTTCGCTGTGTGTTTTACGGGAGATGTACATATGCTTTAATGTCACCCTGAATGAATGTATTCTGAATTTCTGGGGATTTTAAAAAATTCAATAAAATATTCTACACCCTTTCTTTCTTCTTTCCTTTATTTCCCCAGTCTGGCCTTGCTTCCTTCAACCCACATATATTGAGCATTTTCTTAAGGGACTACTTGTTTACAAAGAAAAACAAGATTTTCTGTCCTTCTGAAGCTGCAATCTGTCGAAGACTGATCCCATAAAGAAAAAATTTAAGTATCATTTTGGATTAGGTCATCTTACAAAATAAGGGGCAAATGAGTCATGTGTATAAAGAATTTCCTGAAAAACTGGTGTGTCTTTGGCCAGACAACTTGACAATGTATGCAGCTACATATTAACTATGTTTGTAGTTTATAATCCTAACAGTCAATTGTTTTGGGCTTACTATATAAGCACTTTGCATAGGTTAAATAATTTAATTCTCAAAATAACCCTAATAAATAAGTAACATTATTATCCCCATTTCACAGAGAAGTAAACTGAGGCATGGAGAGGGCAAGTACCTGGCCAAAGTCACACATTCAGGGACGTAAAGGAACAAGAACTCAATAAGCATAAGGATTCAGAGCCTAGGCCACCATAACAAAATGTTATAGATTGAGTGTCTTGAGCAACAGAATTTCATTTTCTCACAGTTCTGTGGATTGGAAGTCCAAGATCAATGTGCTAGCAAAGTTGGTGTCTGGTGAAAGCTCTTGCTCTTTATTTAGGTTGCAAAAGATCGCCTTCTTACTATGTCATCACATGGGGGGTGGGAGTGGAGAGAGAGAGAAAGAGAGAGAGAGAGAGAGAGAGAGAGAGGAGAAGAAGAAGAACAAGGAGGAGGAAGAGGAGGAGGAGTGGGAGGACGAGAAGAAAAAGAAAATATCTCTTCTTCTTCTTATAAGGCCACAGTCTTATTGGATTAGGGCTCGTCATTTTTACCTCATTTAACTTTAATTATCTCCTTAAAAACCCTATATCCTGATACAGTCTCATTGGGAGTTAGGGCTTCAGCATATGAATCCAGTCCATAGCCGCTCCTACCACAAGAATAATCAAGCTAACTTTCTGGTCAATAAGACCTATTAGGAAAATGCTTAGATTCCCATGATAAGATGTACTGTTCAGCAAACAACACTGAAATTCCTGGTCTGCTGATTAGATTTCCTTAAGAAATAAAAATTCAGTCCCACTTGTTTGGAATGAGTTGGCGGGGCAGTAGAAGAATGCTGAGCCCCAGACAGAGATCAGCATTAGCTATTTGACCTTCGAAAAGAAGCTTAGAGATCCATGTCTCTTCTGCTCCCTGCCTTCATGAGAGCCCACATACCTGAGTCAACATCCATCATCATCCCTTTTGGTCGAAAGAGGGAGAAATCCCAGGACCCTGCCATGGGCCCAGGGAGGGATAGAAGGGTGAATTGGTGTCACTGTTTTTCTTTTCACAAGGACTCTCCACTTGTATCAAATGTTTGGCCTGGCCTGTCAGGATATACACATGAGCAGAGAGAATCTGGATAAACTAGTCCCCAAGTCATTCTGAAAGAAGCATCAAGACAAGGTTATTGCATATAATGAGGACAGTAACGAGGAAGGTATATGAATATTAGGTGGAAGTGATGAGGTGTGTTTAACACAGGTGCTACGTGAGATTTATTATACATACTCTCCATAGACTGTTATTGTTGAAAGAACTATAATTTGAAAAATTATGTTAAACTTCTAACAAGGCACTTTGTAAAGTAGAATTTAAAAAAAGATCTTAGCAAGAAATATTGCCAGACATGCTGTCCATGTCCAGAGAAATCTAAAAGACACTTTGTAGCAAATCTTTTAGACCCTTTCCTAAACAATTATGTCACTGAACACAACTGGGGGATGGATATGAGAAGGCCTTTTGTGATTTTTAAAGGTTGCCCTTTCTAATACCCTTTGATACACTGAGGCCAAAATTTCCCTGGGAGTGAAAACCAAACTAGTCATTTCCATTTGAAGTTTAAGTCCTAGAATGTTTGTCCTGAATGGAGGTGTTTGCATGGGGTCTTGAAAGGAAACTCATCATGAGATGGGTGGTCTGTCCTTGCGTCCAGCTCATCCATGAGGTGTGTAGGAAAAATTTGGCGCCATCATTGTATGTAGCTTTGGCTGGAAGTACCTCTAGATTTAGCAAACTGGCCTTGGAGATATGCTATGGAAACAATGGCTGGGCTGTAACATATAAGTGCAAAAAACCATAATCTTGATGTTGCAACTGAGGCCTCTCCAGAGAACTGAAGCAAAGTAAAGATGCTTCTGATTGAGAAGAAATTTTTTTAAACCAGGTGGCAGTCTCGATTTGGCTCATGGGTTATAGTTTTCCAACACTGACAAATTTACTACACCAGATCATAGATTTTTTCTTTCTTTCTTTTTTTTTTACTGTCTACTGAAGAGCTTTTTATTGTTTGTTTTGTTTTTTATTGTTTAAAGTATTACAAATAGTAGCACATATGTCTTCTTTTTCCCCCATTCACCTC